AGCCCCTAGAGAGCCACATGCCACAGAGGTGTTTGCTGGCGCAGGGAGACCCTGCTCAATTGGTCTGGGGCAGTGGCACAACTGGCATGGGTGACGAGCATTGTGGAGGTGAGTGTGAGAAACTTCTCCAGTATCCCAGTGACAGGGCTGAGCCAGAGAGAAATGCCTCCAGTGCCAGTTCAAATCCTCAAAGAGAAAAAGAAGTTGTTTGGTGCTCAAAGGAAGAGTTGGAGGCTTGGGCGTTAAAAGTAAATTCCCTCTTGTTTTCTCAGCCATACCTTAAGAAGAGGATTTTTATGGAAGGTGAGAAAGAGGCTGCATTTTCACCTCAGGGAAGGCTGTATAGATGCTGCCACATACCACCTAGATGTCTTTTAGAATCAAGGTAGGCACTCCCCTTATTGGCTGGGATCTGGATGCTGAAGGGTCACAGCTGCGTCCTCCTTCAGGCATTGACCTTGGCTCAAGGAAGCTGCCTCACCCAAGGTTATGCCCTCTTCCTGTGACACAGCACAGATCCAATGCCCGGGCAATGCAGGATACAAAGGCTTGCCCCCCTTGCCTTGATTTGGGACATATCTAAAGGGCCACTCCACCTTCAGAGATCCTCATGGGATTCACTGAGGCCATGAAGCTGTTCCTGTAATTACATCGTGGGTCAACTTCTCACATGTCTTGGATTCTCACTAATTCCCTTAACAAGTTAATTTAAATATTTGTTTGTAACTTGATGTTAAGAGATTTCATCAGATTCTGTGAGAATCAAAATTATGATCTGGTTGGTCTCTGCCTTCAGGGAGATTTTAACTTACAGAAATGATAAATGACTATAATAAAATGTAATACAAGGCTGGGTGGCCTAAGTGTAAGGTGCTAAGGCATTCATTCAGCACACCTACCATGTGCTTTGTGTAGCAGTGTGAGGATAAGTAAAATAGCCCCTGTTGTTAAGGATTTCAGTGTGTTCAGAGGAAGGGGAATCCATTATTGACAGGAGTTTCTTCATGGAGCCTCAATTTGTTTGTTTATTTAAGCCCCCACACACATACAATTTTGAGTTGGATCATAAAAAGTAATTAAGCATTTCATGGAGGGTTGAGGTGTGATGGAGTGGGAGGAAAATTCTAGGTCGAAGTAGTAACATGAAGGCAGTAAATGGAAGACTCTTTTCTCACAGTAGTTTCTGATAGGATCTTTCAATGTGTAGCTGTTAATAGAATGTTTACCGTGCAACTGGGGTCCTATGTTGGGGAGAGGCCTGAAAACAAAGATAAGGAATAATGCCTTTGTTTAGTATAAAGCATAAAGATTTTTTCTAGCTTATCTCCTATATTTATTTATAACTTCATTGTCTATCTCACAGTCTCTCTATCTCATATCCTTTCATTGTTTATTGATGGTGATATCATAGTCCCTATTCTTCACATCCTCATTTTTTGACTTTCACTTTCATTCCACCTCATGTGCCTTCATCCTGGACCATGTTTGTCATCTCTTTTCCAGAAACAATACACTGCTGTTTTAAACCACTTAGTTTTGAGGCGGTGTGATACACAACAGGAGACAACCCATATATCCTTTGGACTCTTTCACAATAGCCTCACTCACAGGTGGCCTGGAGAAAAGGCAGAGGGGGCAGTCTTCCCAATTGGCAGAGGTTTGGGTGGTGTGGATCATCATCTATTTCGCGTCAAAAGACAAGTATGTTGGGGCGCCTAGTGGCTCAGTCGGTTAAGCATCCGACTTCGGCTCAGGTCATGATCTCGCGGTCCGTGAGTTCAAGCCCAGCGTCGGGCTCTGTGCCGACTGCTCAGAGCCTGGAGCCTATTTCAGATTCTGTGTCTCCCTCTCTCTCTGACCCTCCCCCGTTCATGCTCTGTCTCTGTCTCAAAAATAAACGTTAAAAAAAAAAATTTAAAAAAAACGACAAGTATGTTGATATAAGATTAAATATATATGGGGCACCTGGGTGGCTTAGTCGGTTGAGTGTCCAACTTCAGCCCGGGTCATGATCTCACAGTTTGTGAGTTCAAGCCCCACGTGGGGCTCTGTGCTGACAGCTCAGAGCCTGGAGCCTGCTTCAGATTTTGTGTCTCCCTTTCTCTCTGCCCCTCCCCTGCTTGCTCCCTCCTTCTCTCAAAAATAAATACACAATTAAAATTTTTTTAAAGAAGATTAGATGTATAGACTCAATAACAGTGACAAATGTTTGGGCTTGTTGGTCAAGGGCTTGGAAGGATAAATGTTAAAAAAATGAGACAGAGGGGTCTGAGGAAGGAACATGCAAATTGACATGTCACCATGGGTGTGAAATATGATAACTCTGATCCACCTAAACATGTAGCCCGGAGAGAATCTACTATTGAAGGTTATAGAAACAATCTTATAGAATAACTTAGCTAGTTGATACTAGTCAGTCTTTGTCAAAAGCCACCCCAGTGTTGTACAAAGGGCTTATATGGGAGAAGCTATGTAGGCTGTGTACGGGCCCAACAACGTGAATTACCACTCACCAAGGTGGACCTAGTACTGCTGCTGCCAATTACCTAACCTAAGAGCAGTGATACTAATACTAATAGAGCACCCTCTAATAGAGCACCATCCCTTGAGGGGACCAACTGGCCAAAGTTGATTACATTGTGGCCATTCCATCTTGGAAGGCAGAAATTTATTTTGAGTAGAGTTCTCTATGTGATTGCCTTTTCTGCCCATTAGGCACACAGGCAGCATCATTACTCAAGGGCAAATAGAATTTTTGATCTACCAACATGTGATCCTACATAGATTACATTGGAACAAGCAGTGCACTTTATGACAAATAAGACGTGACAATAGGCACCTGACAATGAGATTCACTGGTCCTATCACATATCCTATCACTCGATTCTGCCAGCCTGATGGAGTGATGGAATGGCTTTTTTAAGGTACATCTAAGGTGGCAACTTGGAAATTATACTCTACAAGGATATGGTGCCCATCTTTATTCTCCAGGATAAAGAGCACACCCTAAATCATCAACCATCAACCATACATCAATCTGGGAACTAGGGAGAAGGGACTCCACTTATTATCACTCCCAGTGACCCATTTGGAAAATCTGTACTTTCTATCCCCACAACTCTAGGTTCTGTAAGTCTAGTGGTTGTGATTCTCAGAGGGAGGATGGTTCTGCAGGAGCCCCAGTAAACTTTAGCTATGACTGCCATGAGATTACTTTAGGTTCTTTGTGCCAGGGATCCAGTAGGCCAAAGAAAAGATCCACATCCTGGCAAGAGTAATTGTCTCTGATCATCAGAAGAGGGTAGGGCTGCTTTTATGTAATAGAAACAGAGAAAAATACACTTGACACCCAGGTGATGTGCTAGAGAAAGGGTAGGGTAGAAGGGGGTTCTTGGTATTCCCTAGACTAACTTTTCTGGTAAACAGACATGTGCAGAAGCCACATCCTAAGAAGGTTCTCAGGGCCTGGGGTGAGCCTGGGTCATCCCACCAAGTAAGTGAGTGAGACAAACTGATGTGATAGTTGAAAGTAAGCAGAATCTAACAGATGATTTAATAGATGAGGGAGACTACAAATATCAGATGCATCCTGGAGAATATCTGCAAGGGGCACCTTAAACTTGTCCCATTAAACTCCTCATAATGTTTTCCTAGGAAAAGATATCAGTATTAATCCTGGAGTTGTTCCCTTTGTGGAGACAATATGCTATATGAAACAAGTAGAACTGAATGGTATACGGATGGATTATAGTGGATGCATTTGGACACTGTCCAGATTCTCCTTCATGGTCAAGACTTCATGGTCTCAGATACTAGTAGTGTTTGCTAATGATCCACAGTTACCTGCAACTCTGGGATTTGCCCTTATGTGAAGGAAGCTGCCTTGAGCAAGTCTATGCACCTGTCCCCAGCTGCAGCTGTATCCAATGATTGTAGGGTATGTTTGCTAATGTGGGACATCTTTGTAGGATCATCTCAGCCTTGAGAGACCTCTGTGGGGTTGACTGAGGCTACTATTTCAACTGAATCTCATTTTAACTTCTCTCTCTGCCTGGTCTTGTCTTCCTTGCTTCTTCACATATACTGATTCTAAGAGCACTTCCAGTAAACCTCCTGCATGCAAATCCTGGGGAGACTACCTGCAACAGTGGGGTAAATTCATAAACCTAAATGGCTGGGAAGGGGAAATCCTGAGGCTTTCTTTATTCTAATAACCTCCTTAAGGGGTTTTGTTTATATAATGCTGAGTGTAGGAGACAGTTAAACTCCACATAAAATAAGAATTCAGAATTCACAGGGAGCAAGTTCATAAGGAGGGAACAAAAACTACATGAAGGAGTTTTATTTATTTTTTTTAGTTTTTTTTTAACGTTTATTTATTTTTGAGACAGAGAGAGACAGGGCATGAACGGGGGAGGGGCAGAAAGAGAGGGAGACACAGAATCGGAAGCAGGCTCCAGGCTCTGAGCGATCAGCCCAGAGCCTGACGTGGGGCTTAAACTCACGGACCGCGAGTTTGTGACCTGAGCTGAAGTCAGACACTTAACCGACTGAGCCACCCAGGCGCCCCATGAAGGAGTTTTAAAAAAAGAAAAAATCAAAAAAGAAAAGAAGAAACTTGATAAACATGAGAGGGAAAGATTTCTTGTTGAAACCAATGAAGGGACTGAGTTTTGCATCCAGGTTGATGAGAGGAGGTAGGCATATGTAGATACAAGAGTCAGACAGACTCCATACTCCTGCCCTGACCCTGGGACTTCTAAGAGGTCTTTAAAATTGGGGCTTTGAGGGGAAGAAAAATACATGGCAAATAAGTAAATTACAAAATACATTTGGTGTCTCAAGTAGTATTTTTCTGGAGTTGTGTTTTCTTTTTTTACACTAGTATCTCTTCCTTCCTAAATATGTTCCTTTGTATTCAGTTATTTTCTGTTGTCACTGATTAATCAGCAGTTTTATTATAAACCTAGGGGTTATCTTTGACTTGCTTTCTCTCAAAGGCAACATCAATACCTCTGGAAATTTTATTGGCTCTGCCTTCAAAATATATTCAGAATTTAGGAAGTTCTTCAGGCAAAAGGAATATAAGACCAACCATAAAACTTGGATCTACATCAAGAAATGAAGAGCATTGGAAATGGAATCAAGCAAGGTAACATAAAATTAATTTTTATTCTTTTAATTGCTTCAAAAGATAACTGGATGTCTAAAGCAAAAATAATGGTAACTATTATATATTTATCCAAAATGTAAATGTAAAATGTATGACAACAACAGCAGATGGAAGGGAGGAATTGGATGGATAGTATGTTAAGGTCTTTCTACTACATATGAAATTATCGATACATTATTTTAAGGTAGATCATGACTAACTAAATTGTATATTTAAAAACCTACAGCAACTACCAGAAGTTGTATAAAAAGACATATATTTCTATAGTAGAAATAAAGTAAAATTAAAAAAAATACTCAGTGAATTCAACAGTAGGAAGAAAAAGAGGACAAAAGAGATGAAGAACAGATAAAACATTAGAAAACAGCAATAAAGGGGCACCTGGGTGGCTCAGTTGGTTAAGTAGCCAACTTAGGCTCAGGTCATGATCTCACAGTTTGTGAGTTTGAGTCCCACATTGGGCTCTGTACTGACAGCTCAGAGCCTGGAGCCTGCTTTGGATTCTGTGTCTCCCTCTCTCTCTGCCCTTCCCCTGCTCATGGTCTGTTTCTCATTCTCTCAAAAATAAATAAACATTTAAAAAATTAAAAAAAACAGCAAGATGATAGAGTTTGACCTACCCATAGACTACTTATGTTAAATATAAATAGTATAAACACACTAAAAGGCTCAGGTTGTCAAAATGGATAAGAAAGCAAGACCAAACTATATGCTTCTACAAAAAAGCCATTTTAAATGTAGGACATAAATAAGTTCAATATAGATATGTCAGTCTCTCCTTCTCTCCCTACCCCTCCCTGCTCCCTACTTCTTTCTCTCAAAAATAAACTGTAAAAAAAAAAGTAGGTATGGAAAAAGAGGACAGTGATTTTTGTATATTATAAACATCCAAAATAGTGCCTAGCGTATAATATGCACTAAATAATCTGAGGGGTTAAAGGGAGGAAGGAGACAAGGGAGGGGGAAATGGGAGGAAGAAGGGAAAAAATCAAGGGGAAAATAAATCTTTTATAATTTCATTTTGCTAATATTTAAGAAGAGATGTTATGTTTGAAGCTTTGGTGCAGTAAACTCCAACTGCTTGTTACAGAACATATAATTGCTCTAAAATATTGTGCCAAACCTTCTCTCTCTTTTTTTTAACCAAGTAAATTTTATTCACAGGTGAGCCATAAAGGTACAAACATATTTTTTTTCTCTCAATGCTTGTTTATTTCTATGGTAAAGCCTTTAGAAATCTACTTACTGTAATTTTCATATTTCTTCCCATATCTCTACATGATTTGTAGATTTTTCTGGTTCTTTTTAAAAACACTTTTTTATTTTCTTTATTTTTGAGAGGCAGAGAGAGACAGACCACGTGTGGGGGAGGGGCAGAGAGAGAGGGAAAAACAGAATCAGAAGCAGGCTCCAGTCTCTGAGCTGTCCACACAGAGACTGATGCAGGGCCCGAACTCACAAACCGCGAGAACATGACCTGAGCTGAAATTGGACGCTCAACCAACTGAGCCACCCAGGCGCCCCAGATTTTTCTGGTTCTTAAGCATGGTGTTTTTGTGAGTAAACATGGGATTCATACTAAGGGCAGGAGTTGGCTATGTGTATGTCTATCTACATGCCTTGGAAATAACATTTCAATGTACATATGTATATTTAGTCACAGGGGAATCTACATTAATTTGTATGTCTCAAAAAAGTTTGAAATATTCACTGATTGTGTTCATGTTGCAATTTAGAGGTTAAGAATGTGAGCCTTGGAATCAGACTCCCTGACTGTGATGACATACATTTGAATGTATGACTTACCGTTCTGAGCTTCTGTTTCTGGTATAAAATGGGGGTGCTAATACTGACCCCATTGGTTCTTTGTGTGTACAAAAAGAATTAATACATAGATAAGACTTAGCAGCATATATAAAATTTAGTATTCAAATGACAATTATTATAATCATTAATATTTGTAAAATCCTATTTTTAAATAAGTTATTTAAAATTTGAAATAGTTGGCCTTTACAATGTTATCCGTAGTGCATAAATTCCCAGACTACATAAGAGAGGACACAGAAAGTCAATAAATGCAAATAAATTTCATTGTATATCTGGGTTGACTATATAAAACTGTCCTGTTCATTCACTTACTCATTCACTGAACTAACAATTTTTAGCACCTTCGTTTTGGTAGGTGTGTATCAATGATAATTTTCTTCAGAAAAATAGATTCTGGGTTATGAAATCCTCTTGCACAGAAGCTCTATGAGTGATACCAAGACATTCTCCTTCACAGGGCTCATTCTCTAACCCGTCAGGGCCTTTTAGCATTGGAAATAGTTCCATGGCGTTAGCAAGGCCTAATATTCAAGTTTATTTCTCAGATTCAGGCTGATTGACCCTGATTGGTCCACATAAGACAAACTAATTTCAATTTCTCTCCAAACATAAATGTTCCCAAAGAACATCTTTTTTATTGACATCAAGGAGGTGTTAGGCAAGGGCCAGTAATAACAGATTGCTACTCAAAATATTCTCTCTACTCCCCAAAAAAAACCCTCAAAAATAAATTATCCTGGTAGTATAAAGCAATCTAGGTCCTGATGTTTACAGTTTTTCACAGTTTTTCACAGCTGAACTTGTGTTGTTGAAACTCCTCTGCAGTGTAAATGACAGATTCCATTTCTTGAGGTTTGTGCACAAAATGGTTTTAGTTGTTAAAATTAGTTGTTAAACCTAAGAAAAATGATTGACTTTGAGACCAGATTAGGTTTTTATTTCTTTAAAAGGGCCAGATTGGCAGTTTTTCATTGGCATCACTTTCCAGACAATAATAAACTAACATACTATTTAAGTCTGCCTCAAAGATAGAATGCTATATACAAGTATGTGTTTATCAGTGTGGGAAGGGATTTTGCTTATTCTAAGAGTCTAGAACCAGTTGAAACTACACTAGAATGTTGTTGGGATGCCCATCAGCATTTCATAATCTCTCAATTACTCTGCATTTTTCTGTCTACAGCATAGTACATTTTCATCTTTCAGATTGTGAAAATCAGACTCAGAATCACTTCACTGGCTCTGTAAGTAGTTAAACAAAGCTGCATTTAGCCTTTCATTATCTTTCAATTAACTATGATCCCTAGAACAATCTGGGCATGAGAATTTAAACTGTCAAATTTGCCTTCTGCGATGCTTTTCTTCCACAAATTAGTGTTTCTCAAAAGCCTCCCATAAAAATAATGACCCTGACATTCTAGACAAACGAAGTGGCTGTTTTTCTTGCAACAGTTCTCTTTGAGCTAGAAGATACAATTTTACATCTATAATTACATAAGAAGCTATTTCAAATACACTTCTAAAAACTGGCATCCTTTGTCCTTCAGAGGATGAAACCTAGGCTCTATTACTGAGGAATAGGCTCTGTATATTGAGGAACATATACTTTGTGAGTGATTTTTTTTAAAAATTCAGAGAAACTTGGTCAATGGCCAGATATAAGTGATGAATTTTTAGGCAGTTATTAAAATGTTTGCCTTTCAAAGCACTTCTTTGGAAAAAGAAGCCATGCCACTCAGAACCACCTATCAAAGCTCTTTTTATTATCTGCTGCCACAGCTATCATTGATAACATGTGAATAGAACTTCAGCTTTATATAACAGCTGGAAAATCAACAGATAGTGTTCATTCACCAGACATTTTATGAATATCTGTGTGTGCAAAGCTCTGTACTGTCTTATATAGGTAGAAAATATGACACATGACTTCTGCAAGGAGTTTATAAGTAAATAAGGGAAAAGAGACATTGATGTAAGTAATTATGTCATAAGGAAGAAAGGTCCTCTTAAAGATCCATTTTATTTTAATGTAAAAAACAGAAGTATAATCCAGGATAATGTTTAAGAGATTCACATAAGTGGGGTGCCTGGGTGGCTCACTTGGTTAAGCGTCTGACTTGATTTCAGCTCAGGTCATGGCCACACGGTTCCTGGGTTCCAGCCCCACATCAGGCTCTGCACTAACAGTGCAGAGCCTGCTTAGGATTCTCTCTCTCTGCCCCTACCCCGCTCATGTGCACTCCCTTCCCCCACAATCTCTCTAAACAAACAAACAAACAAACAATCTTAAAAAGAGAGAGACACAGAGACTCAGATAAGAAGAATCCTTGGTCTTCGTCACTGTCCTTTCACTGGGTCCCTTTCCCATATCCCGCTCTCCTCCCTATTGCCCCAAACCTCCTGCAAATAAATATGGGTGTAGAACCTTAAGATTTACTTTTCTCATGGTATATAATTCAGAATTTATACACAGCTACACACAGCTACCTTGGCTGAGGCTTTTTCCACACTAAGCATAAAATAAATTCTATAATTCAAATATAAACCTTGGGCCTCATTCTTCTCAAAGTCTTGCATATATTTGTTGTCCTTTAATCTTAACAGCAGGACATCAGTAGAGATTGACTTATTAGAAGAGGCCATTGAGATGTACACAGACTGTTACCTAATATTTCACATAGGCCATTAGTTATAAGGCTGCCATTTGAAGCATGTTTTCCAAAGGCTCTGCCCAAAGGAATTCTTTATTAGGCTTTATTGATAGTTTATAACAATAATTAGCAATCCCCAGTTATTCTAGAACAGCTAACTTTACCACAGAAGGGGCCCCTCTACTCTCCTAGGGATCCTAAAAAAGCAAGTGAGCAAAGAGTTTAGAGCTACACAGTATCAGGAGATAGTCACTACTTCACATCCTCAAAATTCTAGCTACCACACAATGAGTAATGATTGGGTGCCCTCTTCTTATTCATAAACTGGGAACACGGAGCTGATATTGGAGAAGCCAGTTATGTGTACAATTTGGATCCAAGCCCTAAATTCCGGTTCTACTTTTCTGTTATCTTTCTTTTTTCTTTTTCTTTTTCTTTTTTTTTTTTTTTTTTTTTTTTGGTCTCATGGATTGTACCACTTACCCCCAAGTAGTTAACTGA